CCCAGGATGAAGAAGCCCCGCCGGGACCTCGTCGAACTCGGCCTCCGAGACCTCCAGGTCGCTGGGCTCCAGGTTACCCGAGAAGACCGCCGTGACCTTGCCCGAAGGGATATGCTCTTCGTGATCCTGATGGAGGGCACGTTCCCGGGCTCGCTCAGCCCCTTCGACGCGATACCGCCAACGCTCACAGGTACGACCGATAGCGGCGACACGATCTGGCCCCAGATGTCGATGAACCACCCCAAGACCGAAATCACTCGCGTCACTACAGCACACTCGATGATGCCACTCGGCCGACACGTCGAGACGAAGCAGCGGGAGAAGGCTCCGAACCTGCCAAAGCTCTCGACGCACAGACTGCCACAGGGTGGACGGAGTAGAACCCGCGAACTCAACGAAGGCATGCACGGCGTATGAGGGTAGTCCAAGTGATATGACCTTCCAGAACCCGCATGAGAGCCCCACTGCAGCGGCCCCTCTTCAATATCTCCTCCAACGCATAACGCAGGCGCCATATGTTTTTGTGGCGCACCGACAACTCGCGCCCACGTCGAAGGGTCAGTCCCGAAAACTCGGCGTCCTCGGAGGCCGGCTGGAGCTCGTGGACAGCCAGGCCGAGGGACTGCAGCCGCTGAGAGATGTACTGGAGGCGATCGTTCACGCTCCTCGCAGACTTGCCGAGTGTAAAGAAATTGTCCACGTACGCGGCGGCACCTATTGACGAGGGGCACCTGAGACACAGGCCAGGTCATCCGTCCTCCACCAGATCGGAATCCACGAACCCCGCGTCACGCACGACATTACGGAGACAGGCCTGGCAGACGTGCATGGCCCATTTGAACCCCATGGGCATGACCCTCAGACACGGCAGCATGGCCTCCCCAGGGCCTCCCGGGACGTTCGGCACTCCGAGCGACTCGAGGACCCCAGCGTCGACGACGGGCAACGAGAACAGATCAGACATATCGGCCGGGACCTCCATGTGATAGAAAGCGGTTTCGAGGTCTCCCGAAGCGATGTGGCACTTACCTCCAGGCACTTCTTAGCTGGCAGAGGCACTGGGAGTTGGCAGACGGGTGCTGGGAGGGGACCTGAAGGAGCAATTGACCACCCGCGTGTCGAAGATCAATATTTGTTGGCCCCCCTTTTCGCGGACGAAAAACACTCACATGGCCCCTTTTCGGCCCAGGGCACGTTGAAAATGCAGCATGCCCCGACTGTGGGCTTCCCTTAAAAACTTTCCGTACTCGAGAGGGCTGGAGGAGAGGAGAGGATCGATGTAAGCCCCACGCGGGCATGCCTCGCGGCGCAGGGCCTCCGCCTCAGCCGGAGGCCTAAGCAGGTTCCCTCGCCATTCCTTAAACGCAGACGCGTCGGCCGAGGACGAAAGATCCAGGACATGAGCCGGTCTACAGTCCCGCGAGGGCCAGGAAACGCGCTCAAAAGAATAAGGCACCACGGGACCCGAATCAGAGGCATAAATCGTGGTCCCGGACAGGAGCTCGCTGAGGGCTCCCTGTGCAAAATCGGGGCTCCCCGTGGGGCGATCAAGGCCCTGGTGAGACTCCTGCATGTGGCTCAGAACCCGCTCCTGACCCGCATTCGGGGAGGTGGGCTGGGTACGAGCACCATAGAGATCGTTCAAAACCGCGACTCCATCCGCGGCCCAGGCATCAGCATGCCCGAGACACCGACGGCGCCTCCACACCCTCCGGCTAGGCCTGGCCGCACCGACGACACATTGCTGGGTCTGGGGGAGAGGCAGAGGAAAAAGGTCTCGCTGCACCCGCATGGACGAGGGACTACTCGGTCCGCGGGCAAGCGAAGACGGGCCCTGCACGAGGGGGGGGGAGAAGGGCCTGAAGCTCTCCCCCCCCGCAGCTCTCATTTCTTCTTGGGCCCCGGCTTGCCACTCTCCTCAGCGCTGGAGGTCTTGCAGGCCAGGGCCCTCTCTTCACGGGCTTTGCGACGTTCCTTGGCAATAGCATATTCGCGGGCCAGCTCGGCCGTGACCCAACTCTGGAGGTCAGGGCAAATGCAGAGTTTCCCACGAACCTTTCCAGTCCCCATGAAAAGGTGGCGATCGGTGCCGGCCTGATCGGGGTTGGCGACTCTCTCTCTCTCTCTCTCTCTCTCTCTCTTTCTCTCTCTCTCTCTCTCTCTCTCTCTCTCTATAACGTTCCTCCTGAATCTGGAGGTCTCGGCGCGCTATCTCGAGGCTCGCGTGGTTAGGCGCATTGACTTGGTCATATACAGCAGCGAGCTCCAGGGACCTACAACATTTTTCATGCTCCTCAACCCCGAGGTCTCTGTCGGTGAGACCAGCTTCCTGACGCCAGCGGACGTGGTGCCCCAAGGGAGTCATGCTGTTCTCCGAAATAAAACGGCAGCACCAGAGAGCGGTGCGAGGGCCTGAGAGAGGCCAGTCGGGCCATGGGTCCTCTCGCATCTGAAGCACCGCTTCCCTGAAGACACAGTGCCGCTGCCCCAGCTGATCCCTAATGATAGGCAGGACCCTGGCGTCCAAAAGCGGGGCAGCCGGTGGGAACGCCGGCGGAGCTCCCGCCGCTAGCGCCAGGGGCCCCAGGGTCCCCACCCCCGGCCGCGGGCCCCACAGGGGCTCCAGCCCCCGGGGCAGCCACGGCCCCGGGTGCCAGCGCGCCGGGGGGCGCCAAGCCAGGCCCCGCCGGGGCCAACGCGGCCGCAAGACCCGCCAGGCCGCCTGGAGCAGGGCCGCCGCTGCCCGGGGCCGGGGCGGGAGGCGCCAACGCCCCCCCAGGCGCTCCGGGGGCAGCGCCCAGCGCCAAGCCACCAGGTGGCCCTGCCGCCGCGGGACCTGCTGGGGCCAGCGCGGCGGGCGCCGCTGCCGGGCCTCCGGCCGCAGCACGGCCGACATTCACAGCGATGTGGACAGCAGGCAGAACATTCAGACGAGCAGCGGCCGCCGCCCGCGCAGCCACGAAGGTGCGCAGGAGAGGCAGCGCTCGAAATCCATGCACTCGTTGTCCCGCCAGATGCGCCGGCAGACCGCCGCCCGCAGCATGACCCTCGAGCAGGGTCACGGCCGAGATGTCCCCTCCGGGCATCAGGTCCTCTTCGTAGCAGTCGCCGTCAGGAGTGACCCCGTGAACGAGTGCGGTGGTTGGCTGGACATCAGCAGGACGCACCTCTCGTGCCGCAAATCAGCACCCGCCACGTTGTACTTCACCGCGATGAAGTCGCCCTCGAAGACGCCCGCCGCCGTGGGCGCATGGGCCAGCTCCAGCTGTGCAGCAGGCCCCGCCACGCCAGGCCCAGGGGGTGCGGCGGCCGCCCCGGGAGGGGCCAGGAGGGGGCCGGCGCCGGGCGCCGCCATGCTTAGCCGCGAAAGACCACGGCCGCGCGCCTCTCGCGCACGGCGGCGGCCTGGGCCCGAGCCTCAGCAGCGAAGTCCTCCCCCGCCACAGAGGTCGGCAGGGCAGGTGCGGCGCGTCTGGCAGCGCCGCCGCCACGCCCTTCGGCTCGCGAGCCGGCGGCGCCGACCCCTGCGCGCCCGCGCCTGCAGAGCGCCGCGGGCAAGCCAGAGCTGGCAGAAGCCGACCAGCGAGGAACCCGATTAGACTGCCCACCGCCAAGCCGAAGGTCAGGAAGCCTACGGCGATGAGGGCCCCGGTGGCGGCCACGCAAGGGATAGACGATCCCTCGGGGCAACGGCAGTCCCCGCATCTCAATGGCGGACAGGCAGGGGGGCTGGGGAAGTGGGCCTCGGGGCAGGCGGGGCACGCCGCTGCCAGCGAGGCAGTGTAGTAGTGGATGCCTACCACAATGGAATCCTTCAGACCTTCCCACCAGATGTGTTGCATCTGGTGGCTGAGAGCTTGAGCCGACACAAGTGCGGCCCTTCTGCGCTGCAACACATCCTTCATTATGTAAAACATCCCATATACGTACTTGTTTGTAACCTCCAACTCCCGCTTGTAAACTCTAGCTCTCGCCTCGGCGCCGCGCGCGTCGTTCCGCATGCAAACGCGCGCGACGAATTATGCCGGATTGAGAGCGTCTCGGTTTCAAAATATAGCTCTCGCCTTCACGCCGCGCGCATCGGTTTTCACAAATGCGCGCGAATTTCGCGGATTGAAGGCGGTTCGCTTTTTAAACTCTAGCTATCGCATTAGCGCCGCGAGCGATCGTTATGTAAATTTGCAAGAAATTGACGGGTTGAGGGCGGCTCGGTTTCATGCAATAGCTCTCGCTATAACGCCGCGCGCAATCATATTTTCGCTGTTAACTCACACACACACAAACACACAAACACACACATATGCATACATATCCACATATGTGTATGTGCGGAAAACACGCGCACGAGTTTCAAGGATTGGAAGCGGCTCGTCGTTTCAAACCCTAGTTGTCGTCTTAGCGCCGCGCGCATTCGGTACAGAAGTTTGCGCGAATTGCACGGGTTGAATGCGGCTCGGTTTCGATATATGGGTTTCGCCTAATCGCCGCGCACCTTGTTTTTTGTTTAACATGTGTGCGAATTTTACTGATTGAAAACCGCTCGTTTGTTAACTTTGGTTTTCGCCCTAACGCCGCGCGCGCTCGCTATGCACATTTGCGCGTGTTTGACGGTTTGAGGGCGGCTCGGTTTCATGATATAGCTCTCGCCTTAGTGCCGCGCGCGTTGGTTTTCAAAACTGCGCGCGAGTTTCGCAGATTCGAGGCTGCGCGTCTTAAAACTCTAGCTCTCGCATTAGCGCCGTGCGCAATGGCCGCGGCAATTTGAACGGGTTTCACGGATTGAAGGCGGCCGGCGACGACGGCGGACCCGCTTTCGTCTGAAGATGCGCAGGTCTGAGAGCACGGCTGCGTCAGGAAATCCTAAGCACTGGAAGCCGTTCCTCGGCTGAGCGCCGCAAGCATTATCCCTGCCCCCCCCCGCTCCTCCCCCATGTCCTCCTCCTCCTCCTCCTCCTCCTCGTCCTCCTCCTCCCCCCCCCCTCTCCCTCTACCTCCCCCTGGCCGCGTCGCCGACGCTGTCGCGCTGAATTCCCTGCAAGCGCGTTGCGCGATTCCTCAGAGCATTCTTGAAACATTCTTCAAATCAGATGAGCTGAGCTGAGCTCGCAATGGCCTGGCCTCGCCGCTCAGTGTGCGCGTGAGTTGGCGCCGCCACTCTCGGATCCTTCCCTCCCGCGCGCGCGCTGGTGCTGCTGTCGCCGGGGCTCGGCGTTTCCTCACCTTACCATATGTATACAGAGGCAAGCTCTGATTGGGGAACCAATCCAGATAACCCCACCGAGCCCCGAGAAACCCAAGTGACCCCCCCCAAAAAACAATAGCCCCAAGACGTCTCGAACAAACCCAGGAACTTCAAGAATCGGCATAAATCAAAAAACCAAAGAAATTGCAATAATCCCCAATTCCAAAGAAACCACGATCATCTCCCGACTATGGACACTGCTTGGCTCTTGAAACCCAATGGCGTACTCACAACGCGCTGACCTGTGGCCTCGCCAGCTGAACTGAGCTCACTGCGAGCTGGCGGCCTCGCCGCTCAGCGCGCGTGGTGCGATCGTGCTGAGAACAATGACAATCGCATGGGAAAGACTCGTAAGTTCAGTAGGATTGATAAAAGGAATCGTGCCATTACGTGGTTACGCTAATTTTGCTTCTCTCAGCCGCCCCCGCCCTATGCGTTTCCTGAAATGCAATCCTGGATGAGAAATTGCCGTCCGCCGGCCGCCCCGGGGGGCGGCCTGTCCCGGGGCGGCGCCCCCGCCCCGCGCGGGGCGATATCTTGGCGCCGCAGAACGGCGACGATCAATTTTTCCCGTCCATGAGTATGCGCACTACATGGGGCCCAAGCCCAAAGCCCCCATTCTCTATCTGCCCGCCGCCCCCGCCCTATGCGATTCCAATCGTCGCCCTCAATTGGAAGGCGACGTTCGTCGGCCGCCCTCGGGGGGCGGCCCGCCCCAAGATAGCGCCCCCGCCCCGCGCGGGGCGATATCTGCGACGCCGCGGAACGGCGAGAACAAATATTTCCCTCCCGCCAGAAATCGCAAGAGCGCGGGACATAACTCACTTCCCGCCGTCCGACGCAGCGGCGGAAGGAGTTCTTAATATTAATTGCGATGGAATGACAGCGCCAACAACAGTAATGACGATGTGAACTATTTTGCTGTTACTTCTGGCAATCCCAAATACAAGTAGTAGTAGTCGTAGTAGTAGTAGTAGTAGTAGTAGTAGTAGTAGTTGTTGTTGTTGTTGTTGTTGAAATAATAGTACTAGTCGTAGTAATCGTAGTTGTCGGCGTCGTAGAAGTCGTAGGAATAGTTATGGTAAAAACTGCATTCGGTAGAATACCAGCAACGCTTACAAGAACGCTTGCAGCGTCTGCTGGTCGGGCTGGTTGAACTGGTTGAACTTGCGGAACGGAGCCCCCTCCGGGGCCGCGAGGCGCCGCGCTGGGCGGGGGGGCCGCGTGCAAACTGCGCCAGTGGAACCTTCTGTGGAGCCCCCTCTTGCGCCGCGAAACGCTGCGCGGGGGGGGGGGGGGGGGGCTGCGCGCGGACTGCGCCGCTGGGGCCTTCCAGCGAAGCAAGAGCGACAGCGTTGGCTAAAGGTTCCCAGGGCCACCACGCCGCGTCAAAGCGAGAACGAACGCAATGGGTCATCGCGTCGACATCGGCATGGCAACGACGATGGCGAAGAAGGCACTGACAATCTCAGATGGCCCATGCGGAATGATTGGGCTGTGAGCGGGTCCATGTTGGGGCGATGTCCGGGTCTTTTCTTTGGAGAAGGAATTCTCGCGCCGTTATATATACAAATGTATACATTGTTACGGGGTGCAAGCCCATCGGGCTCGGGCCACCCCCTGACCAGAAACCCGTGGCCAAAATTACGCGGGGGGTCGGGGGTGTCCAAGGCGTGGCGTCTCATGGTCAACACTATAGCACCCCCAAGCGTGGGACCACGAAACGTTATGCTGGGCGGGGGGACCGCGCGCGGACGGCGCCGCTGGGACCTTCGGCGGAGCTCTTTTTGGGGCAACGAAACGCTGTGCTGGGTGGGAGGGGGGCCGCGTGCGGGGTGCGCCGCTGGGACCTTCGGTGGAACTCGCTGCGGGGCTGCGAAGCGCTGCGCTGGGCGGGCGAGACACATGAGGACTGCGCCACTGGGGCCTTCGGTGGGGCTCCCTGCAGGGCCACGAAGCGCAGCGCTGGGCGGGGGGGGTGCATGCGAATTGCGGAGGAGGGGGGGGGGGGGGGGTACGGGGGGGATCTGGGACTATCTGGGGACCATTCTCGTTGTGTATGTTGATATGGTGGGATTCGTCTGGTTAGGCGGTTTGTGTTCCTTGCCTCGGCCACGTACTTTGTTTCCCCGCACCCCCATCGTCGCCGCCCAGCCCTGCAATGGAGCCCCAATGGAAAGCCGCGCGGATAAATTATATGCGCAACCCGCGCAGTATAAATCAAGTTGTACATCGACCACAGAAGGGGCCAAATTAAAAAGCCGCGCAAAAAGGGATCGATCTGCAGCCCGCACGGGAGGAATCAATGGTAAACCGCCCAACAAACATCCGATTGAACGGCCGCATAAAAAAAAAACATGCTTAAACCGCAATCCGCACACGAGGAATCATGTAAATCGCAAGCGAAAGGATTTCCCAAAAAAAAATCGAAGCAAACATGGACCCCCAGCAGAGAATAACAAACCAAACAAGCAAACGCACAACATGAAACACGCCCCCCCTACACGCGCGTTTCCTTCGCGCCCCCGCGGCCCCCCAAACAAGAAAGAACGCGCGGGGGGCAAGCGTGTTTCGTGTTTCGTTTTTTTTATATTCTTTTTCCCCTCGGCTCATTTTTCCAGCAGGAACTGTTATCCTGGCACCCTTTTCAAAGGGTACCCTTTTGTGCTCGATTGTCAAATTTGTTCTCATTGCGCGGCTTACGCGTAGAATCCTTCTGCGCGGCTTTTCAGTCGACACCTTCTGTCCACGATTTACATATTACTTTCTATTGCGCGGGTTGCAAATGTAACCCCTTTGCGCGGCCTTTCGCTGGAGTTCTTGTTGCGGTCGATCTGCGGTCGGTTTCGCGCGGAATTCCTTTAAAACAACTTTGCAGCCGGATTCCTTGCATGCCCTGCATTTCTACCGCGTGAATTCCAAAGAGAACCCCTTGGCGCGACTTTCAAGTGGGGTTCTTTTCGCGTGAGATCTACCGATTGAATTCGCGCGCGCGGACGCAATTCCATCCATTGACGGATTCCAGCACAAGCGGCTTGGTCTTTAAATCGGCCCACATCTGATCGAACCCCATGGGCAGTGCATCCCAGATGGGATTGTGATAGATGCGGCTCTGTCTCCAATAGCATTCAAATAGAAATGGAGCAGAAACTAATACGGGTATACTCCAAGTGCTTCCATCCTTCATGGAGTCTTTTGGGGGGTGGATCCAAATCTGAAGGGATTATATTGAATGTAAGCCCACATTGAATCACATTCAGATGCCCGTGGCTCCGTCCATAACATGATCCCAATAGAGTTTGGCCCATCTCCCATGGGTTTCTATGGGGGCCGGGTCCATCCTTGATCTGATTTGTTGTTGCGTATTGCGTCACCCTTGCGACGGCCCCGTCAAAGGTGGGCCCACCTCTAATGCGATTCCGTCAGCAATCGATCCATCCCTGATACGATTCTAATAGGCGTGGCTTCGCTGGCGTCGCATGGCTCAGCAGGTTGCCGAGGTGCCCAGGGCCAGCAGGTGCAAGTCTCACCAGGGCATATCAGGGGGCAGAAGGGACTAGCAGGGCTCGGCAAGGTTTAGCAAGGGTTTGCTGGGCTGGGCAGGTGGCTTTGGCATAACTCTTCAAGGCTGAGCAGAGGGCCAGCAGGGCGTAGCAGGGCCAAGCAGGGCCCAGCACGGCATCGCAGTGGCTAGCAAGGCCCAGCGGGGGCAAGGCGCAGCAAAGATTAGCGGGGGCTTCGCAGGGCTCGGGGCGCATTATATTAGACGTGGCTCCATTCCCAATAAGATTCGAACGGGCATGGGTCCACGCCATAGCTTCCATCCTGCAGGGAGTGCTGGAGGTGGACCCACCTCTAATGTTATTCGATTAGAGGTGAACCCACACTGCAAACAATTCAATTACCCGTGGCCCCCGTCCATGACGTGATCCCAGTGGAGGTGGACCCACCTGTCATGGGATTTCAGTAGGGCCGAGTCCTTCGTGGGTGGGATTTTGATAGCACGCTGCTTCATCCCTACATTCTGTTAGGGGCAGATCCACCTCTGATAAGATTCCATCAGCATTGTGTTCACCCCTGCTGCGATTCTATGAAATATGGCACCGCGTGAATTAGCGGGCATCACATGCCAGGGCAGGTTGTCGAGGTGCTGGCAGAGCTTAGCAAGGCGAGCAGGTGTTAGAAACGATTGGCAAGTCTCAACAAGGCATTTCAGGGGCTGGCAAAGATTACTGAGGTTTCTCATGACTTAGCTGGGCACGGCAGGTGGCCGGCAGAACTCATCGGGGCTTCGCGGAATGCCGAAGCTTCGCAGTGCCCGCCATACCCATCCAGTCTGGAGCTAGGAATGCAGCAGCGCGCGCATCTCCCACTTCCTGCAAACAGCTGGTAATTTGGGGCATGTTGCTGGAAACGCGTGTCAAGAGGTGAGAGGAGGAAGAGGCGAGGAGGGGAATGGAAGGTGGGGGCGGGCAGGGGGAAGGAGGGGAACAGACGGGGGAGGGGCGAAGAGAATGGAGAGCAGGCTCTGTCCCGAAAGTGTTAGCAAATATTTCATGAGCCAAGCTCTGTCTTAAGCTGCGCCCCGCCCCTCCGGCGGAACGCAGCACGGAAAGGGCCGAGGCGGATGCCCCCGAAGACTTTGCGATCCGAGGGTCGTAGTCCATGAAGCACTCCTCGGGCGTCATCGCCTTCAAATTGGCCTTCGTCACCTCGTCGGGGATAGGGGGCAGGAGGACCGGGTCGGAAGGAAGGGGGTGTTAGTAAAGTGGGTTAAAGAATCAACTAGCTCACGTGGCTGATTTTCTTGGCGCATTCCAGCGCTGGAGGTTCCTTGGGACAAACCGCTCATCCTGAACAACTATATGACGGTGCTAGGGCCCGAGGAGGGCGTTGGGGACTCGAGCAAAAACCTCACGGCCCATCTCCACCCCCATTTCCCTTTTCCGTCATGGCGGCGGGAGGCATTGTGAAATTTCCAGAGACTGCGCCAGAGACCCCCGCGGACCCCTGGAGACCTCGCAGGCGGGAGACACTACAGGTCGGCGGGGGACGGGGACTATTGGGACTGGCGGGGATGGGGATGGCGCGAGGGCGGGGCTTCTGCGTGTCAAACGCCCAGGAAATCAATCTCCCAGGGCCCCATGGGGCGGTGAATATGTTTCGGCCCCAGGAGGCCGAACATAACTAGATCCAACGCCTCCCCAAGTCCAAGAAGATCGGTTCATCAGGCGGTGGAAACATACATTCCTCAAACAATGCTTGATCTCAGGGGCTTTTACTTATCCTCTAAGGAACTGGGCCGTGGAGGCGGTCTAACGGCTCATTGCCGGCCGTCGCCGACCCGTCGCCGCCCATCGCCTGGGCCGTGTGGGCGGTCTGGCGGTTCCGTGCTGGCCGTCGCTGCCCCGTCGCCGCCTCGTCGCCGCCTCGCCGACGCCCGTCGCCGCGGTTGGATTGCACCACGTGCGTTGCACGAAAGAAGAACGCGCCTGCGGTGCGCTTTCTCCTCGATTTACCCTACCTTGCACCGCATAGATTGCACAACATAGACTGCACAGCATTCACTGTGCACTATAGGAGTCCACTGCATACATTTCACAAGAAATATTGCACCACATATATTGATTGCATCACGCATATGCACTACACGGGTTGTGCCACATACGTCGCGCCGCATATATCGCATATCGTAACTTGGCCCACATAGATTGCACTTGCACAACATAACTTGCACAACGTAGATTGCACAACACTGGTCGCTCCACATAGATTGCACGGCCCATATTTCTTCACAGTGGTAGCGCCATGGATACGGCTAAGACACACTGGTTGGGGTCCTCGCTGGCTAACCCATAAACAGGTATCTGCGTATCTGCAGGACTGCATTGGCGTTTCGCGCCACACCTTTGCCTTTGAAGTTGGGCGCGCAGGCGGAAGGGCAGGAAGGAAAAGCCGAACAATTAGCGATAACTCCTTGTTGCCTCTCCCGACATCGCCGCTGGTGCACTTTAGTGTTGTTACTTATCGTCTAAGGAACTGGATGTGTCTGTCGGACTGCCAGCAATGTTGCCGCCGTCGCCGCTCCGTCGCCGCCCGTCGTCTGGGCATGTCTGTCGTTATGGCGGCTATGTCGCCGGCGTCGCCACCCCGTCGCCACGTCGTCTCGCCCGTCGTCTTGGCCTTGTTGTGCATTTCGGTGCGCTGCATTGCATGGTGTTGTATTGCTGCGTGTTACAATTTGCAAAAAAAAAACAAAGCAAAACGATATACTTATTATTGCTCAGCACATTCTGCACAACTGATATGCTTGCATATAATTTGCGCAGCATGATTGCGAAGCGCATGTGTTGCATCACATCGATGGCACCACATCGACTGCACCACATAGATTAGCCCACATGTTTGCAAAGCATTGGTTGCACAACATAGACTGCACCACATATATTGCTCCACATGGATTGCACATTTTATAGTGCGAGGAATGCACTGTTTGGGGCCCACGTTGGCTAACATAATATCATTACTTGTTTCCCCTGGTGTTTCCTCTTTATCTTCATCATTCTCGCCCTACCCTGCGTAGTCTTCCCCGTCCCCATGAGCTCGTTTTGCGGAGGCTCCTCCTTGGAGAACCCCTTGGCGGCCTCACGAATGTTTCAAGAAAGGCTCCTTGGACCTTCTGACTGGGCCCTCCTGACTGACTTGGGCCCGTTGCCTGGGCCCAGCAGGGGCTTCCAGGGGCCGCAAAACGCCTGGAAGACCTTCTGCCAGGGCGTCCAGCGGGCCCTCGGGGCCACGAACCCGGAGATCTCGTTTTTGGGGTGAAGGGGAAGTCCCATCCCCCCTCGGATTGTGGGAATCTATACATGGGAATATCTGGCACGAAATGGAGTGCTGCTGCTGCAGCCAAGACTGTAGCTTCTGAAGGTTCCGAGACTCTAAGGTTCCAGGCCGTCCCTGGGTCTTCTAGTGTTTACCCCGTGAGTTCTGGGGGTGTTTTCTGCGGTTCCTCTGAACGCTGCGTCGCCAAAAACGATCTCCCGAACCCTCCGTTGCGTCCAAGAGGGTCCCGATTTCCTGAAAGATCGCTCGCGCAACGCCAGTTCGTGGCTGAGGGGCAGAGCAGCAGGAGGGGAGGAGGGGACCAAACAACTCGCACGCACACATTTTTCAAAATGCGCGGCCGTCGCTCCTCGAAGGAGCTTGTCTTGGAAGAGCCGGGTGATATGCCAAGCAGATGGATTGTAGCACCTGGCGGCACGATACTTCGCCGCTACGACAATTCGGCCAACATGCAACGCCTGCAGTTAGGTTAGGCGACGGGGCCCGGTACAACGTTGTCAGTGGCGCTGCGCCCGCGACAAGAGAGGAGACGTCAAAGGGGCCGTTAGGCCGCACGGCCCCAATACAATACTCTGTTCAATCATTGTTTTTTCAAGTCTCTTGCAGAACCGCCCTTTCGTATTCGAACCTGAAAGCTTCGAAATCCACTCGATATCGTTTGTGGGAGGACGTCTCAAGCGAGAACCACAATTTCGAATCTCAGATCATAAATTGAAATGTTACATGGCAAACGGTGTGGCCATTTCGGAGCGACGGTTTCGGTTGAGACTTCCTTGCCAACAGCAATTTCGAAACATTTCGGGACTTTCGGGTTCGATTTCGAAATGGCGTTCCCACCCAAGACTTCCTCCAAACTAGAATTCGAAACCTTTCTGGTTCGATTTCGAAGTGGCGCTCCCGTCCAGGTCTTCCTCCTAAACAAAATTCGGAGCCTTGCGGGTTCGCTTTCGGAATGGCGCTCCCGCCAATGACTTCCTGAAAACTGGAATTCGACACCCTTCTGGTTCGGCTTCGAAGTGTCGCGCTCCCTCCCAGGACTTCATCGAAAATAGAGGTAAGCACTTCTTCAGCTCGCATTCCCAATTGCGCTCCCGCCTCAAGTTTGTCTTGGTGGAAGCACGAGACGGGTCAACACTTGTGCAGCGCCGACGTAGAATTAACTCACCACGCTCCACCTTGGGCGCGCTGATTGGGAATGCCACTCCAGAATAGCCACGCCCCTCGCTGCTTTCCAGTCGTAGTCCCACGTAAACTGCGCAGGGGGAGGTCTTCGCGCCACCCCCGATCTTTACACGCGGCCACTCCTGTCAAATATGCGCGAGCAGCGGGCGCTTGCAGCCCCGACCGCGGGCGAACTCAACGCCCGAAGTGTTGCGTCTCTCTCTCTCTCTCTCCCGACGCTCGACACGGTGCAACCGGCCGTGCTCGCGGCAGACGGTAGCAGTGGCGGGAGGATCGAGGGGGGAGGGAGAAGTCGCTGTCTCACCTTCGTCGGAGCAGAGGATGGCACACAACGCTGTATCCTGTTGTTGGGGCCATTGATCTCGACTTCATTGAGCTCCGCGGTTGCTGATACTCGGCAAGGCTGCTACTTCAGGCTGCTGGGAGCAAGAATGGCTAACCGTCGAGCTGGCTGTCTGGACACTCAGAGGAGCTCCCACCTATATGATCACCAGCAACGGCAGAAAAATCGGCGGCAGGGACATCAGGAGCACCAACAGGCAACTGCAGCAGCTCACAGGCGCTATGGTGATCACAAAACTGTCTACATGTCTACAAGGCTGCCTAAAGAGTGTCTTTGTGGTGCTCGCAAGTGGTGTGGCATTCAAACGCACTGCGGCGCCCATCTGCCGTGCTCAAATGGCTTGTAGTGCTCGAGGGGACGAATGGCTTTAGCTTGGCGTGTCTAGCAGAGATGAATTTCCCTCGGGGGGGGCAGGGTTGTGGCTCGAGGTGACAAGAAAACCAACGGCCAACACGACGGCCCGCGGTGCGGCCTTTGTCTGCGGGGCCGGAGGTAGAGGAACATACACATCAATGAATATGAACTTTCGGAGGTCCGCGAGGAGCTCCGAGAACTATGCTTAAACAATTGTTTCTTATTTGGGATGGGAAGGTTGGGGTGATACAACTCTGGGCAGCGTGCTGGAACGAGGGGGGGGCAGATCCGACTGTGCCTTGGGGGGAGGCGGGGCATAGCTGAGCGGCTCGAGGACGGGGAAAGCTATCGGTGGGACTTCCCAGCGCTGGAAAAGGCAGTGATCGATGTTTGGTTCTGGAACGCCAGAGAATGCGAGGCCTCGTCAGGGTCCGCGCGTAGGGGCCACCATACAGGACTCCCCTGGGGCACATAACGTGCGGGCGATGTCAAGTCTGGGAGCGCCCAAAGCAGCGCGTTCGCAATCAGTCCGCGTGTGGGGGACGCTCTGCAGACACAACCCCCAGGTCCCAAAGCGCGCCGACACTTCTACGTGTGGGCGCCAACGCGTGAGGCCCCACCCGTATGTTGTGGGGAAGACTCGGCGAGACACACCTCTGGAGCTCTGAGGTGGCGACAGCCCTACGACTCGGAGGACCCATGGAGGTGAGGTCGCTCAGGGGGGCGAGGGTGGAAGGGGGGAGAGGGGCAGGGAGGAGGAACTGTGGGCTCATCAGGGAGGGGGGTCCAACGTCGGAGGATGACCGCTAAACTAAAGTAGATGTGGGCACGCACACCGTACGCACAGTCACAGGGGCAACCACGGCTCCACCGCATGGCAGTGTGGCAACTGTGACGACTGGAAACGAAACGCGTGACACCAGTCGCACTACGCAAGACATTGCGCGCGGCAAGTGGCAATCGGGTTGTCCGAGCCCTACGTGCACCGAGTCCGCCGAATCGTGTGTTGGCATGGTCCTATTGGCTGCCACCACCGCAACGACTCACAGACCTCTGATCGACCTCCACCCCTTGGCAGGCGCACCGCCTGCAGCGGCAGAGAAGGAAACTGCAGACGTCCTGCTACCACAGGGGACGGTGAAGAGGGAACGGAGGGGCTCTTCTGGTCACGGCGGGCCTCGCCCCGACCTGGGTCTGAGGAGGGTCCCGAGCACCAGCGCCCCTCCCGAGCCCGAAGTGGCTCTTGTGTCAACGCCCTTGGCTGCACCACGTGCGAGTTGAGCTGGGCAGGTCCTGTTCAGAGCAAGAGAGCGGATCTGGTGGGGCGCACGGCCTCATCGCGCTGCTCGGTTCCCATATAGAAGGCCAACGCGGTGATCGTGATGATGAGGAGCATCTCGGGAAGCGACGTTCGCACGGCTTAGACACACTCAACAACCACACGGTCGACGAGGCTGTTCTCTAGATCCTGTCGTGAACGATGGTACGGGTCAGAAGCGCCACATCATCACATTGGCCTTGTTGGCTCGTGCACCTGTCATGCCATTTGCGATTTCCTGTGGTAGCCCTACGCATCTCCCCCAGCTGTGTCTTTCTAATGTCTATCACATTTGTTTCTGAAACATACATCATGACCCTGGAGATCCCGCCCAATGGACAAGCCACAATAAACACCGTTCGCCGACACATGGGGTCCTCAGCGCGTGAGATAATTGCCCCTCCCCAAGCCCCTCCCCCGACCAACCCAACCCGTTTGGAGTGGGCGTCAAGCCTATATTCACGGGTCCGAGGACAGCCCCCCAACAACTTGCAAACGTCGAATTCAACGAACGCTTTCGAATCTCAACGCCCAAGAGATCGCCGAAGCCGGCCCAAGAAAACTTCAAGACGACCCAAGGGGTCCCAGGACGGCCAAAGAGGTCCCAAAGACGATCCCAAGAGGGGCCAAAGAGAGGGACATCGAACTGGCCTCGGGAGCCTTCCTTTCCCGTCAAGACAGCTCCAAGAAGCCCCCAGCGTCACCCAAGACAGCCCAAGAGGCTCCAAGACAAGACGCCTCCAAGAAGCTCGAAACAAATGTTCAAACACATCTCCAAACTACCTCCAAGAAACCTCCAAGAAGGCCGCAAAGGTGCCCCAATTCCCAGAAGCCTTTGACCTGCACCCCAAACGCAATCACGTCGCCCCAGACGATCTTTCCGCGAAGCGAAGGCGATCTTTTCCGAGTGCCTGCCGCCAAGTCTTCAGGCCTGAGTTCTTCGACACCTCGTTCGATAAGGCGCCTTTCGCACTCATGTCTTTAGATGCGCCTCCTGGTTCTGTCCTCCACCCGCCGCCGCCCCCAATCCGCTGTTTTCTTCTCTTCCATCCCTCTTGCTCCTTCCTGGCCCTCCCTCCTCCTCTCCCAAAGCGGCACCCTCCAAGAGGGGCCCCGAGAGGTACTCCAGGAGGACCCACCAAGAGGTCTCGGATTCATAACCCAAGCACGGTCACATCACTACGGACATGCATTTCGCGAAGCAAAATCGCCGAACCCTTCCCCTCCCGAGCCGCTCCCCTGGGAGTCCGTTCCGACGTTTCTCGCCAAGGTAACCCCCAGAGGCTCTCAAGACGTCCCCACACGAGGCTCCAAGAGGCGCCCAAAGAGGATTTGAGGAGCTTCCTAGGGCCACAAAAGATCGGCGGTGGTGCGTGAGAAGCAGTAGAATCACGGAACTGCAGGTGCTCCACGACATCTGCTACATACGGCGAAGTGCTGGCAGCTGCTTCCACACCTCTGCTCGCAAGCAACCCTAATACGGCACCCGACACTCATCCTGCTGTCACGTCCGAGGCAACATAGTGAGAGGGACGCAACACACATATCAACGGCGCGGACCATCCAGTGGTTGAATGTATAACTTCTGCCGAGGACGAACCGGGACAACAATGCGGACAAGACCAGCCGGAACTGACCGAGGATCTTGACAGTGCCTTGCCGCTGCTATTTCTCAATGTTATTCGCGAACATGCACATATGCTTGCAAATGCGAAGCTCTGGCGGCAGACCTATTGTGTGATGTCGACATTTTGAGTGAGGCGTTTGCCCAACTGTCGCTTCCCTGTTGTGATGTTATCTGGGCAACGTAAACTAATCGCTTGATATGAGAGACCCCAGTGACACCTGTAGGCGCACAATCTGAACGATTACCTGAGCGTTCACCACGAGCGCGTGCGTGAAACAAACAAGGGTGCGTTTCGCCGATCCCAGGATACTTCCCATCATTCGCCTCCTGTCCTTCATGTCCTCTTCCTCTTTGTCGTCCTCCTCCTCTCCTCTTCCTCCTCTCCCTCCCTCTTCCCTTCGTCGTGTCCTAGCTCTTGTCACTCCTCTCCCTCCTCCCCCTCCCACTCCCCTTCCTCCTCCTCCTCCTCCTCCTCCTTCTCCTCCTCCTCCTCCTCCTCCTCCTCCTCCTCCTCCCTCCTCACTTCTCTCCTCCTCAGCGCCAGCTGGCACGAGCCGCCGCTCTGCGCCAGCCAGCGCCATCGGCGCTTCCCCGCGCCGCCTCCCCGCTCTCCCCTGCTCCCGTCCCCTCGGCCGCGCTATGGAGGCGCCTCCCGCGGCCACCGCAAGCCGCCGCAGGCCGCCGCGGAAGGCTGCCGCGCGTCGCGCGCAGTACACGAGGGCCGAGGCGCGCGCGTCAGAACACCTTCTGCGCGCACTCGCAGCCCTCACCAGCCATCGTGGCCGCCAGCCATCGCAGCTGGCCCAGGCGGTGGCCTCGGCGCTGGCGGCGGCGCCAACGCCCTCTGCGCAGCGGGGCGCAGCGGCCTCTCCCTCTCCGGATGCTGTCGCTCCCGGTGCCCATGGAGGCGACGCGGCGGCTGCAGTCCCCTCGTCTCCGCTGGCAGCGGGACCAGCGGCCGGCGGCAGCGGGCGACGACGTGGTGGTCCCGGAGGGCGAGTTCACCTCCCCCTCTGCCCCCCCCTCTGCACGGCCTCCTTTTCTTCCCCGCGGCACCCCAATCGCAGGCTTTCCGCCTAGGACGCGGGCGGAGGCTGATCCAGGCCCCAGCCCTGCCACTGCTCTAGGCCTCGCGCAGGGCTTAAGCCCGCCACCATTTTTTCGGCAAGTCTCTGTACCTTCACGGCCGTCAAGGCCAGTACCACTCCCAGTACGCCCTGCAGCGCCAGCGCCGCCAGCACCTTCACGGCCGACAGGGCCGGTGCCAGTACCCTCGCGCCAGCCAGAAGCAGTGCCAGCGTCAGTGCCGTCGCCAGTGCAGCCATCATGTACGCCACCGGGGATCACAGCAGCGGAGGCGAGGGCCTGCCGCGCGGTGCTGTCAGCCTCGAGTAATCTGTTCGCGGCCCCGCAGCAGTCACAGGCAGACCCAGTGCCAGGGGCGCAGCTGCCGAGCCCCACTGTGCAGAGTCCGCCACGCCACGACGACTCCAGGCCCTTTTTCACCTGTACCCCAGCACGTGCCGCCTTGGATGCAGCGGCCGCAGCGCGGCGCGTTGCCGCATCTGCCGCGCACCAGTCTCCGCCATAGGCGGCTCGAGTCACCAGCCATCCTCCAGAGCTCAGCCAGTTTTTCCCGCCGAAGGCGGAAAGCCAGAGCACGGAGGGGGATGGGCAGGTATGGCAGTTTTTTGCGGCAGGTCTGGCTGCCCTCTCTGGCCTTCGCGCACAGCTACTTCGTACAGCTCGGCCTCTCCTGAAAGACGGGGTGGAGCCCACATGGGAGGAGTCGGCCACGCCCTCCTGAAAGACGGGGTCGAGCCCACATGGGAGGGTGTGGTGCCAGCGCCAACTGGCTTCGGACCTTTTTCGCGGGCCGGCAAGACAGCAATCTCTGGCACTTGCGAACAGTTACTCTGTACAGCACCAGGCCCCTCCTGAAAGACGGGGTCGAGCCCACATGGGAGGGGTCGCCCGGGCCCTCCTGAAAGACGGGGTCGAGCCCACATGGGAGGGCTCGGCGCTGGCGTTTTGAAGGCCAGCAAGCAGCCCTGGCTTCTTCCTACCCAGCGCGGCCTCGTGGCACACCTTCCACTGCTTACTTGTATAGCCCCAGGCCTCTCCTGAAAGACGGGGTCGAGCCCACATGGGAGGGGCCTGCCGTGCCCTCCTGAAAGACGGGGTCGAGCCCACATGGGAGGGCGCGGCACTCGCGCACGGCACGCAAGCACACAGGCCCTGGCTTTTTCACCGCAGCGCGGCCTCACGGGGAACCCCCGCCCTTCTCCAGTCCAGCACTCCTCCCCTGGAGGTTTGGACAGCCGCACGGCGGCCTGGCCAATTTGGCCCTCCTTCCAGCTCTTCCCTCTCCTTCAGCCGACCGCAACCTGGACGGCACACCTAGGCAGGTTTCTCCTTTTTCCAGCCTTGTACTGCTCTTTGCCTCGAGGGCTGCCCTGCTATGGGCAACGAAGCAGGGCTCCGCTGATGTCTCTCTTCGCACGGAGCTGCAAACTCCTCCTCTCTCTTATAAGATTCCTCTCTTCCCCTCCAGCAGCGCCAATACCTCTCTCCCGACAGTTTTCGGGACGAGAGCGGAAGCAGCTCAGCGTCCATGTTTTCGGGTTTCTCGTGTGCAGCCTGTGCCAGTCCTGTTGGCTTCAGCGCTCAAGCTACTTGCAACGAGCTCAGTGCAATCAAAAAGTCTCTCCTCCTCTGAGGTCCCCGGAGGCCCGATGGTATCCCAAACCGTCAAGAAACGTCGTGCTCTCAGCTTCCGCATGTCCTTGTTTGCAATGGCCCCGACCCTGGGGTCGGTTCCCTGTCCAGGATAATCATCGAACGGCCTTGAGGTCCGAAACAAGCCTCTGGAGGCCCGAAGCGGCGAACAGTGAACATGCCATGTAACCAGCGGGCCACCACGAGCACGACCCTCCTCCTCCTCCTCCACCTCCTCCTCCTCATTCCTCTGCTCTCATCACTCCATATCCTCCTCCTCGCAATCCTACCTCTCCTCATCCTTCTCACTCTCCTCCTCCTCCTCCTCCTCCTCCTCCTCCTCCTCCTCCTCCGCCTCATTCCTCTGCTCTCCTCACTCCATCTCCTGCTCCTCGCAACCCTCCTTCTCCTCATCCTTCTCACTCTCCTCCTCCTCCTCCTCTCCTCCTTCTCCTCCTCCTCCTCCTCCTCCTCCTCCTGCTCATCCAACTCCCCACCATGTCGCTCCTTGTCCTCCTCCTCCCCTCTTCCTGCTCCGCAGCTGCCCCACCTCCTCCATTCTACCCCCCGGGGGTCGCCCCGAGCAAGCGAGGACATCGTCGCTGCCACCACCGCCGCAGCTGCCACCGCCGTCGTCGCCTTCGTCGTTTTGGGCATGAGCGTCTGTGGAAACGGCCAGCCCCTGGCCTGCGTCCAGGGCCGTGCCGTAGGCCAAGATGTTCAGAATCGTACTGCGGGCGTAGCTCGAGAAGGGCTACCGCCGCCAGAAGTGAGTTGCCCAGCGAAGCCCTGCCTAGACGAAGCCGTCCCACCCTCAGATGCAGCCGTTCCTTCTTCCACTCCCCCTCCCCTTCTCATCCCGTTCCTCAGCTCCTTCCCCTTGCCACCCTCCTCCTCCTCCTCCTCCTCCCCCTCCTCCTCCTCCTCCTCCTCCTCCTCCCCCTCCTCCTCCTCCCCCCCTCCCCCTCCCCCCCCTCCCCCTCCCCCTTCCCCTCCCCCTTCCCCTCCCCTCCCCCTCCCCCCCTCCCCCCCTCCTCTCCCCCCTCCTGCTCCTCCTCCTCTCGTCCTCTCCTCCCCATTCCTCCCCCCTTTCCCTTCCTCTTCCTTCCTCTATACATCCTCCTCCCCCTCCTCTTCTCCTCCTCTTCTCCTCCTCTTCTCCTCCTCTTGCTTCGCCTGCCCATCCTAACCAATCAAATCCGCCACCGTGCCTCCCGGCGCGTTGAGGCGTGGTAGAACGCCAAATTCTGCCTGGTGGCATGTATGCGATCGTTTGAAGTGCCCCCATCTCCCGAGGGTTCCTGAGCGCCACGGCACGCCAAAACAATCTCTACGGCGTCCCAGATGCCCAAGATGATTTCCAAGACGCTCCAAGCAGGCCACCTATGCTGCCGAGACGGCCCGATATTGCCTCAAGAGCGACACAGCAGCCCCCAAGAAGACCCGTTTGACCCTTTGGGCCCCCTAAGTGGCTTCCAAGACACCACCAAGCCGCTCTCAATGTTCCTTGCACTTCAGTTGTTCCAGCGTGGTTTGCTTTCCGTGCTCTTCGATCGAATATCGCTCCACTTGTGGTCTTCGACAGCCCAAAAGGCCCACTGAGAGGCGCAAGTGGCACCCTAGACGGCCCAAGACAGCAACAATCTTGCCCAGGAGGGAATCCTCCGTAGGGACCCAAGGCGGCCTAAGGAAGCCCAAGAAGGCCACCAGACGGTCCCACGACGGCCCCAAGGAACACCCCGAACCAGAGACGGCTAAAGTGGCCCTGAGACGACCTGACGGGGCCCCGCCCCACTGGTGCCCAAGGCAGCCCCAAGACGGCCCAGATGATCCCTGTGAGAGCCCCTCAAGGAATGGATACGAGAAGTCTCACGTGTGACGGCCTCTCTGGGCGGTGCTTCAAGGGTCGCCACACTGAGCGCTTCGCTGGCACAGTGGCGGATTTGCCGCAGGCACCAAGATACCTCGCAACATTCGCATGGCTCGCGAGCTCGTCCGTGCCCTCTTGTGCTTCATGGCCCGTCCACGTCCCGTGCCATATGACTGCAGCCTTGGGCTATGTTGCACAACGTTGGTAGCAACAAGGGCATGTGCGATGCATCAAGACAGGTCCTAACAGTGAACAGCATCGAGACGAAGCCGAACCTCTTGATTGCCTCTGGTCGGATCCGGCGGCTCCCGCACTGGCAAACCCTCCGTGGGGGCCGCCCTGCATTGGGACACGAGCCTGTCCTGCCTCCTTCCTTCCCCAGCGCACGAAGGTGAAAAACAACAGGAGGCCTCCAGGGGTCCCCGGGTGTCTCCTCGGATCTGCGCTGGCGGCGCCCTTTGGCGAAGCTCCTGGCGCGCTGCGCGCGCCTGTGAGCGGGGGTTCCAGTACCGCTCCAAGAAGAACTCCGAGCGGACCTTCCACGGTTCAAGGTGGGTTCGTGTCTTGGCGACGCGTCTGCGAGCCCAGCGCGGTAGTTCAAGGTTGGAGGCCCCCAACTTACGAAACCTCGCTCGGAGGGGCAAGGCAAAACGTCCCAGCACTTCGAATCCGTAGTCCTCCTCCCCCTGCCCCTCGAGAGCATGACAGGAGAGCCCAGAATCCAATCGACAACTCGGATCGGCGATCGAAATGGGTCGGATCGGCGGAAATCGGCAACCGAATCGGGAAACAAATTATCGACGGAAATCGGCAATCTAGTCGGTCTCCGTTGAAAAAACAGAACACAAATCGGAATCCGGAGTCGAATCGAGTCGGAATCGGAAGCCAACAAAATCGAATCGAATCGAATCGGAGGAATCGAAACGAGCCCTGCATGGTGCAAACGACTCGTCTGGCTGATGCTCTGGGGGGGCCCGGTGCTCAGGGGAGGCTGCAACACCGCTCAACCATGTGCAGAAAGGCCAACTCATCCGAGTCGGTTTTCCGCTCACATGATGGCCCCGTCTCCCTCCAGGGGCGCAGGAGAAGAGCTCGAAGGCCAGGCAAGCAGGACACACCCCGAACCACCGAGCGCCTCTTCCGACTGACCGCCGCTGCCGCAACCCGCAGCCCGCAGCCGCAACTCAAAGGAATCCAAAAGTCTGAAACCCTAAGACGACGCACGAGACTGTAAGATCGGGCGCACACTAGCATGGATTATGAACGGATCCGAGGATCGGGGTCAACACCCCCCGAACCATGGCACCAATGCCGCCTGATTTCGCGACGGTGCGCGCCAATTCTGTACAGAAACGGGACCCGTCGCTGACACAGTCGCTTACGTGAGATGGCGTAGCGACCTTACGCCGCAGCTTACGCGAGCCGCCAGCGCGGCAAGCTGCATTGGAGGCGAGGGATTCCACGCGCGTCCTTGAACGGGCAAATTACGTGCGAATGTCGCCGCAATCGAACCCGTTTTTCTGCGTCGCTCAAATATCATGTGATAGACAGGACGGCCGTCGCGCCCCCTCCCCCTCGGACCTCTCCTGAGAGTGCATTCTGCGCAGGCATCCGAGACTGATCCAGCCGTGGCGACGAGGGCGCCCAGGGAGGCCCCAAACAAGCTGAAGAAACCATCCAGCACCTCCTCATCAATTGCTTCTCCTCCTCCTACTCCTCGTCCCCCTCCTAGTCCTCCTCCTCATCCTCCGTCTCTTCCTCCGTCTCCTCCTCCTCCTCCTCCTCCTTCTCCTCCTCTGGCGGAGCGGGGTACCAACGCACTTTGAATTGGTACTGGCGCAGCCACCCAATGCGCAACGCCGGTCCTCCTCTCTGGCACCAGCCCTCGTCCTCGTCCTCGTCCTCGTCCTCGTCCTCGTCCTCGTCCTCGTCCTCGTCCTCGTCCTCGTCCTCGTCCTCGTCCTCGTCCTCGTCCTCGTCCTCCTCCTCCTCCTCCTCCTCCTCCTCCTCCTCCTCCTCCTCCTCCCCCCGATCGCTACAGCCATCGTGCCAACATGCCACCACAAGGAATGACAGACAAGGAACGAATGGGCTTCTCTGGCCACAGCGAGCCAAGGCCACGAATAGGTTCCCCGACCATGGTCTAAGGAACGGTCCAAAAGGCCAAGAGCCCCTCTTGAGCCCTAAGCAGTCCATATTTCAGCGCCCTGACTGTGTTCCTCCTTCTCCTCACCGTTTCCTCCTCCTCCTCCTCCTTCTCCTCCTCCGCCTCCTCTAGAGGGAGTTCGCCAGCAGGCTCGCCCAATCTTCCTGGGACCTCCTGCGTGCAGGACGGCGCACAAAGCCCTCCTTGCAGACGCCGCGGGAGCTCAAGGCTCCAGTGCCGACCGAGCAGGCGATCCAGCGAGACCCCACCCCAACGTTCGAGTCATGAGAAGGCGCCGAGCCAAATCCGAGGCCGTGCGCTGGCCTTCCTCCGGCGCCCTCCTCTTCCTTTTCTTCCGCCTGCTGCGTCCCATCTTGCGCGCAACTCTGCCCACCCCCCTGCTCCCCGATCCTCCATCTCGCGCCTCCTCCTCCTCCTCCTCCTCCTCCTCCTCCTCCTCCTCCTCCTCCTCCTCCGCCTCCATCCTACTCCTCCACGTTCCCTCATCCAGCGTCCCGCTCCTATCGCTCCTGCTGCTCCTGGTGCTGGTGCTGGTGTTGGTGGTTGGTGCTGGTGCTGGTGCTGGTGCTGGTGCTGCTGCTCTTCCTCCTCCTCCTACTCCTCCTACTCCTCCTACCTCCTCCTCCTCCTCCTCCTCCTCCTCCTCCTCCTCCTCCTCCTCCTCCTCCTCTCCTTCCTTATCCTTCTCCTCGTCCTTCTGGCGCACAGGCTCTCATCAAATCCTCAGATCCAGCCGAAGACAGAGCGGGGAGAAAAGGGCACGGAGGCCAGGTGGGCGGGACCAGGGCGAGGAGGGAACGAGCGAGGAAGGGAGACAGCAAGGGCAGGAAGGGATGGCAGAATTGCCCAAGTGGCTTCTCTTCCTCCTGTGTACATCCTACTCCTCCTCCTGCTCCTGCTCCTGTTTCTCCTGCTCCTGCTCCTCCTGCTCCTCTTGCTCCGCCTCCTGCTGCTCCTCCTCCTCCTCCTTCTCCTCCTCCTCTCCTTTGTCCTCCTGCTCCTCCTGCTCCTCCTTTGTCCTTCTCCTCCTCCGCCCCTCGCCATCCTCTTGCTTCCTCCTCCCCTGAGATCCGACGTTACGAACACATTGTGAAATCGCACACAAAAACTGCACCAGAGCCCGGGACCCCACATTCCTGCGGCATTTTTCGAGCTGGGTCGATCTGTGGGGGTCACGGGGCCCGAAACAAGACAAAGTAACCCGTTGTTGCGAAAAATGCGGCTCCAGGATTTAGGTTCCTCCCCTTCCTTTTTCATCGAGCCCCCCCCCTCATCCTCGACCCCCATTTTCCTCCCTCCGAACGCCGGTGGCCTCGATGTCCACCACCGCGGCCTTGGCCTGGCGGGCGCCCCCCTTCCCTTCCTAGGGCCATTGGGGGCGGGGCGGACTGAAGGCTACACGAAAGGGGGATCCTGGGCAAGAGTGGCTTCTTGGTGCGCGGATTAAGGTGGCCAAATCCAAGAGCGCAAGCAGCCGCTATCGCATCGCGATCAGCGATCGGGGGGACCCCTATGAGCCCGCACCAAAGTTCACTTTGGCGAAGAGTCATTCTTACGTGTAGTCGAACATGGCGGGCTCCGGACACCCGGAACCCAAAAGTGCTGCCGTCTGCTGGGGGTGCATCCTTGCCGGCGCGCCAACCCCTCACGCAGGAGGTTGCGCACCTCCTGCGGGTGCTGCCTGACGAGCTCGACCGGGCGTCTCTCGTCGTCGAGGAGGACGAGACTGGAGTGCATGTCCCATCCGATGCGGCGCACGCTCAACCACAGGGCGGCGATCGGGCCCCTCGCAGTCTGCCAGGAAGGCGCCGTCTCGCTCCACCGCTACTTGAGGGCGCTCCAGGCCTGCTGCAGCCTGGCCAGCGGGGATCGGCCGTCCCAAATCTGGGAGGCGTAGGCCACCAGCGGCGCCGCCGTGGCTTCGTGCATCAGGTCGAGGAAAGGGTCGCGCTGGGTGGCAGGTGCGCCGCGATCGATGCCGCGCCCTCACCGCCGCGGCCGGTGCACGGCAGCGCCGCGCGGTGCCTGAGCGCGGCAAGCTGCGCGTCGCTGGTGCCGCCCACGTACGCGCCGTGTGCCAACGAGGGAAGGGGGCCCGTCCTCCTCGGCGCCTGGGCCCAGGGACCCGCCATCCTGGCCAGCACGTCTGCGCGAGGTTGACGCGCCTGGAGCTTCTCCAGTCTAGCCCTCGCCACAAGCCTCCGCACCGCCGCGCCGTGCGTGTCGTGCCCGAGATCGCGGAGACCCTGCCTCTCGGGCAGCGCCAGGGCTCTGGCAGCGGGCCAAAACTCCTTCATGGCATCCTGCGACGTGGCGAGTCAGCCTGACTTGGCCAACTTGATCTACATACCCCGCGGCCGCACCTGCTCCGTGAAATCGCGGACCGCCCTTCGCATCGCGCTGACGCCGCCGTCGCCGACCTGCCCGATCCACTGGGTGTTAAGGTCGCCCATGAGGGACCTCGGGGTCAGCTGGTTCACGATCGTGCGAGGGCGTCCGACGGCCTGGAAAAGCAGCACCGTCGGCAGGGCTGCGCCGTGGGTGCACCCCGCCAGGATGCTGCCGTGGGCCACCGCCTTGCGGCTCCAGCAGCCGCGCGCCTGCAGCGCCCCCAGCATCCTGAAGTAGCTCACGCACATCCATACTAGCCGCATGGGGAAGCCGAGGGCTCTAGCCTGCCCAAGCAGAGGGCCCATGAGCTTGCTGTCGAAGGCCTCGCGCAAATCTGTGATCACAGTCCAGCTGGCCTCCCCCAGCAGCTGGGCGATATCGGCCTGGACGTTGCGGCGGTGCGCCGGCGCCGTGGCCGTCGCCCCGCGCTTCATGCCGATGATCGCGTCGTCGGTGGTTGTCCCTGATCCACTGCTGCGAGAGAGCCTTGTGTACTCTCGCCCACGCCCGAATGAGCGCGTTAGCAAAGGTGATCAGGCGGCAGCCCTCACCGTCGGGCTTCGGTAAACGGACCGCCACGTTGATGATCCGCTTCGACGGCCAGCACAAAAGCTCCTCGCATCGAGCGAACAGGGCCGCGGGCGCCTCCATGGCGCCATCCGACTCGAACCGAAGCTGCCGCGGGTGTCATCGAGACTGGCCCACCGCGGCCTTCCATGAGAAGGCGCCCGCCGCCCTCCCGATGTCGCCGCCGCTGATCGGGGGGGGGGGGGGGCGCGGGCCACGTTGCCGCATCTCCTGGGGTAGCCGTCTAGGGAGCGCCATGCGCCTCCCAGAAGTCCTCCATCTCATTCGCGACCTGGTCCGCCAGCTGCGCAGGGTCTCCGCCATGGTCGGCTCGCGCCACCTCGAGGCGCTCCAACGCCCGCGTCGCGCGGTGAGCTCCGCTGACCCCGCGGGAGAACGCCTCGTCGACGCACGCCTTGCAGCGCTTCGCCGTCGCCTCGAGGTGCAGGGTCTGGAGGTCCTGCTGCTGAGTGACGAGCTCCGCCACGCGCGCCTCGAGGTCCCGCGGCAAGAGCAGCTCGGGGCCGAGCGCGAACGGCGCCTCGACCTCTGGCGGCGCCTCCTTCCAAACGTGCCCCGCGGTCCTCCTGGCTGCCTCGCCGCCCCGCCTGCCCAAGTCCTGCGACGCGGCCGCCGCCGCCTCCTCGGGCCGCGCCCGCGCCCCCGCGCTCGGCCCCTGCGCCGCGGCCGAGACCCCTGGAAAGGAGTGGGGCCGCGGGCGCCGGGGTCGCCGTTTGCCCTGCCACCCCCGCGGTCGCGTCAGCAGGGTCGGGGGGCCTCGCGCCTGCATCTTCAACCGCTTCACCACGAACAGCGTTGCCGCGCGCGCGCGGGCGCTTGGCTCGACGACGGACCGCCGCTCCCAACCGCTGCGGACGAGCGGGCCAGGCCTCTCCCAGCGCACAGGGCCCCCTCCCCCCATCGGGATGCACATCGATGGCCATGGGGACAAGAAAGGAAGCCCCAACGCACGCTGTCCCCCATCGGAACGCACGTCGATGGCCACGGGGACAATATCGGAGGGCCCAGCGCACGCTCTCCCCCTATCGGAATGCACCTCGATGGCCACGGGAGCAATGCGGAACGCCCCCGCGCGCTCTCCCCCAATGGAATGCACATCGGTGGCCATGGGAGCAATAACGAAAGGCCCATCGCACGATCTCGCCCCAACGGAATGTACATCGATGGCCATGGAGTGCAATGGCGGGATGCACAGCGCGCGATCCCCCCCCCCCCCCCCATCGGAATGCTCATCGTCGGCCATGGGGGCAATAGCAGAGGGCCCCGCGCGCGCCCCCCCCCCCCCCCCCTCATCGGAATGCACCTCGATGGTCATGGGAGCAACACGGGAAACCCAAGCACGCGGCTGACCATCCCGGCCTGCCACTCCGACCCTCTCGGCCTCCCCCCCCCCCCCGCGCCCGAAGGCTGCGCGCCATCGGCGTGGGGCGGGGGCACCTCGAGGCAATGTATCACAATATGTCCCCAACTGTCTGATGCGCATCGTGGGCCCTGGGTGCCGCCCCCAACGGAGCTGGCCCCCCCAGGCCGCGCCCCCCGCCGCCTCTCGGCTTGCAGGACACCTTCGCGGCAACAGCTCCAGCCGCAGCGTCGGCGGCCCCAGGCGCGCCCGCGTCGCGCGAGGTGGCGCGCGTCGCATGTCCCCCGCTTTCGCCGCGGGGTGGTCGAGCAGCTGCCCCATGGCAGGGGCAGGCGCGCGAGGTGCTCGCCGAGCTGCGCCCCCGCGGCCCTCCGAGCTGCCTCGCCGCCCCGCCCCCCCACGTCCTGCGGCGAGGCCACCGCGGCGCCGGCCATCTGCGCGCGCGGCCTCGAGGCCACCGTAAGGCCGAAGGCCCGGGGGGGCCGGCATCCGCGGCCTCCGCGGCCGCTGCGGGCCCCGCTGCCCCAACGCGTTCTCCTTCGAGCGCGCCCGGCGCCGCCGCCGCGGCCTCTGCGTTGGGGCGCGACGCGGCCTCGTCCACCGCGCTGCGCATGGCGCCGACCATCTCGGCGTGCAACTCCCTCGCCAGGCCCGACGCCTGCGCGCCATCGGCATGGGTCAGGGGATCCTCGGGGCAATGTATCAGGGCGCCCCCAATTGTCTGGCGCGCACCCTGGGCCGCGCGCCTGGCCCCCGCCAGCGGTGCCAGCGCCGCGGCCGCCCAATTGCTGCAGATCGTTCGTGGACATCGTCATGGCGCTGAACGGATCAGCAGGGTCCAGGGAGCAGGCCGCTGCGCTCTGACCTCGCGCGCGGCAGCCGGGCGAGCGTCCGCCATCCACCGATTCGCGCTCCACGGCAGCTGTCTCGGCGTCGGCCTCCTCGGCCGATGCGCCACTGGGCGCGTCGTGCGACGCCGCCTCGGCTGGGGTGTCGGCCCCGCCCGCGGCAGGTGGCGCCGGCCCAGCGCCTCCTCCCTCAGCGGGCCTCGGCTGTGCCACGGTAGGTGCCGCGCCGCCGCTCGGCCGCTTGGCGCACTTGGAGAGCCCGGCAGCGACCCTAGGCGCGCGCTCCGCCATGGCGCCTTCCATCCCAAGCTCTTGGGGGATGGCGCTGATCTGGGACGGGTCGGCCTCGAAGATCGCTGAAGGCGCCACGTCCGCATTCCCACCTGCAGGGGGCACCGCCTGGGACGCTGCCAGCGAGTGCAGATCGGCCGCCAGCGCCACGCGCTCCACGTGGAACTTGGCGAGCTTGGCAGCAGCTTCATCTCGAATCTCGGTGGCAGCCACTGTCTGCGCCTCGGACTGCTTGACGGCCGTCTCCTGCTTGGCGATGGCCGTCTCGAGCTTTCGCTGCTTGTCAGCTACCTCCTGCATTCGCGCGCAGGAAGGGCTGGCTTCCGCTAGCCGCTGCGTGGCCTCTGCGACCTTGCGCCTCGTAGCCCCCAGCACCCTCGCGCGCCAGGCCGAATCGCACTCGTCGACCACGCGCTCGAGGGAGCGGATGGTATCCTCGTCCTTCTGCTCCGCAGCTCGCCATCCGTGTGCTTCTCCAGCTCCGAACCCATGTTGACGTCCTGGCCCTCGGCATCGACGCCCCGCGGCAGTGGGTGCACTGTGCATAACTGGAACTAGTGCCTGAGCTCCGCAATCTCCTGATCCTTGGCCTTATCCGCCCGCCAAGGGGGATCAGCGTCTCGCTGGCGTGCCCTGCGCGCCTTCGAGACCGACGGCGCGGGGGCTCGACGTTGGCACCGAAAGCGGCCCCCTTGCGCCTGCCGTATTTGCCGCACGCCGACATTGGAACACCGTTCCGCCGAGGCTTCCCCGATGTCGGATGCACGCAAAACCTGCGCGTCCACTTGCATGCTGAGGAGGAGGAGGAGGAGGAGGAGGAGGAGGAGGAGGAGGAGGAGGAGGAGGAGGAGGAGGAGGAGG